ATTCCTGCTTTAAGATATTGTTTAAAAAGAAGATAAAAAGTGAATTATATTCTTTTAACGTGTATTTTTTTTATTACTTTTCATTTTTGTGTTAGAATAAGCTAGAAACTGTTTGGTTCTAGAAGAGCTTTAGTAGGAACCTAATTTATTTTCTGTCTGATTTGTTCTAAAATATTCCTCCCTAAGGATTTAGATCATAGTATGAAATATTTATCTTGGGCTTCCAAAATGACTGAAGAGCAGCTGCTATTTTCCATGCTGTAATTTTTCTCCTTAGTTGATATAAGCTTGTATTGTACATATGAAAACAATTAGCAGGGAAACTCCAACAAGCAAAGAATTCCTCAGTCCCATGGGATAGATTTCTCTATCTCTTAGGCAGCTGTGCAACTTGTATAAAATGTCTACTGACTGACATTACAAAATCAGGATGAAAGGAAAGCTCCTACCAGAAAAGTTTCATGAAGTGTAAAGTATGAATAATGTTGATTATTGTACATTTTCAAGTATTAGGAAAATATTGTTTGAGCCATAATATAAATTGGAAACCTGAAGCACAGAAGTCATTTTTATAGTGAGTCTTAAAAGAAATGTCCTGAACTCCTAGAAGTATATATGTTTCTTTCTCTGTTATGTTAAAACACAGCTATTTCTTGAGTTCCCCAAACTAGCAAATTTGGAACAAATTCTGCAACTTTGAAACAATCTAAGAAAATATGAAAAAAACATTTTTAATGGAATTATCTGAAAGATAAAGGTTAATTATGTGTTGATAGTTCCTGCAAGTAAGCTTGAAATTCAACCACTACATTTTTTTACTATGCCTATAAATCAGATTTTAAATTTCATAAACTTCTACACTCGTGTCCTTTTTTTTGTGACCTATCTTTTCCTCATCTTTTCTTTTTTGTAAAGCTAAAGCATCCCTCAGAATCTCCACAGCATCTCCTTATCAAAGTGATGAGCATTTCCAGTTTGGCTGCATTTCTGGTCAAACTTTGTGATCTTGTTAGAACTGTTTCTGCCCTGAATATCCTTAAAATCACAAATGTGTGGCTAAATTCTGCCTGACCCATAATCTTGCCTCTGATATAGCCAGAGGCCAAGAGACTAACAAACTGCAAAGTTTTACTCATTTGCATTGCCATTCCCTTCTTGCCTGGGGTGGAGGGATTGAGCCTTGGCTCTTACAGGACCAGTTAAATATACAGCTTCAGTTATCAAATGTGTGTGATGAATTATTGGATTCATTACAGCAAGTTAAACTAGTGTTTCCAACCACTGCAACTCTTTGCAGATTAAACATACACTAAAATTGTGCTGTTTAGCAAGTAACATCTTTCTGATTACAACAGATCAGTGTATTTCAAGCTGGATTTTAACATGAATCATGTTTTAAATATGAGTGCAAAAATTATGTGAGATCTCAAAAGAGAGATCACTGAGTTTAGTACATGATGGCCGTTCATGAAGTTACATTTGAGGAAATAAGAGTCTTGTGTTATAACATGTCAGAATGGCCTTTGAAGCCTGATATCTAGATTGCATTTCTGCAACTAATAAGCTTTTCTCATTCTTGCTGTTCATGTCCTTGTGTATTAGCAAATGACCAGTTCTTCATCTGTTAAATTATAATTCTAAAGAAGTGGAAATCTGGCTGAATTTGCAATTTCTCCATGAAATGTGTATCAACACTCCTAGTATGTTTCATGGCTATGGTTAAGTATAGTTTAATAATGTACAGCAAATTGTTTGCCCAAGAGGAAGATGTTGAATAAGGTCATGAGAGCTGTATGAATCCCAGATGTGGCACATTTTCATTACATTTGTCAGAGGAAGCGAATACACAATTATAATATGGTTACAGCTTATTTCAGAGATGATATTACGGGTTTTGAATCCACTGCATGGGTAAGTTAGCATACTGGGTAACAGCAGTGAGGAGATTTAAGAGCAATGGCTATTTCAGAAATATTTTTATTTAACCCAAGCTGTTGTTATTATAAGATCTGTGGATTTCTCATCTCCCAGTGCAGACCTACTATCCATGTTTAGCTGAGTCTTCCATATACAAAACAAAATATTTTCTGAGCCCATGAAAATATTCTGGAAGAATGACTGGTAACCAGGGACTTCTACAAGTTGTAGGACGTCCTAAATCTTTACTCACCTGAACGATTTTGTTATTATGCGCAGGACATCTTTGGGAATAGTGGTGTGAAGAACGAAGCCCAATTGTATGTGAGAACAAATGTCGAACATAAGAGCACGTTTCCAGTCATGGCTTTCTTGTGTTGTCAGTAAGCAGGGAAATACGCCTGCTAATAGTATCAGTATCATTATAACAGTTTCCCTGGCCATCCAAAGTAGTTTCTGAAAGCTTTTTAAAACTATGATTCAGTTAAATATTTATATAACTTGCATGAACTCTTTACAAAGTGAAACCTTTCTATAAGCATTTACAATTTTTATATTTTATAAATAAATCTCTTTAGTAACCCTTATTTGGAGGTATCAGTTAATAAAACTATAGAAGGTTTCTTCTGGTAGATACTGAGTATAAATGGCAATCTATTGCCTGGCTCATAGAAAAGTGGAAATAAAAACTTCTTATTATGAGAAATAACTAATCGTGACTGAGGTGGAGTTTGTACAATACTGTTATCATTGTGATGCGAATATTGCTAGGCCCAAGAAAGGTTGCTGAAGGCTATGAACAGGCAGATGAAAAGTAAACTTATTAGCCTATAGTGCATTGCATTAATGTATTAAATAACAAACATAAATAACTAGTTTCTCTGTCCTTTTATTTAGTTCATGTAACTGCCATCTTCTGCAAAACTTAGCAAATTAAATGCAATACATTTTTCATCAGTCTCATGCAACAAAAATGAAACAATTCAATTGATATGTTTACAATGATTTCTACCCTTTTGAAATCATGGAAGTCTTCTGATAATGTCGAGGGAAATCATCCTCTGTGTTTTGATTTGCTGGAAAACAGCTTGGGAGATTTTTCTTTTTTGGCCATGACGAACCAGAAAGGACTTATGCAGACAGCTTCGTACAAAGATGGTTTGCTGAAGTTCAACTTCAGGAATCCAACTTTGCCAGTAGTATTTGCAGGGTGGTCTGTGCAGGCTGCCTCTTCAGTCAGTAGGAAAACACAGTCTTTTCTGTATCTTCCCTGGCAAGATACTCAGAGCTTTTCTTTCGTCTTTGATTATTAGTGGAGCCTAGGAGACTTTTTAGCTTAGTTAGGAGGTATATTAGGTGCCTAGATACATATCATTGTGAAGATCTGTTTCAAAAAAGGAAAGGAAAACTTGAATGTCATGATTTGGGGGATTTGCTGCTTCCCAGGTCAGCTCTCCTTCTGTTAATAATTACCTTTTTTTTTTTTTTTTAATATATAGTTTCACTGTAAGAGTCTGTGCAACTTTTGAAGGTCAAAGTATTTCAGATGAGATAGGTAAGAAAATTTTTATAATTATATAAATTTACTCAGGCCCACTTAATTTCAACTGTATTTTTTTCTTACACATTCAAAGGTGATAGAAGTGAAATCTTTCTAAGGTAAGAAAATGCTGTTTAAAAAATGTATAAGCACGGTTTTAAAATAGATATAAGCACAAAGCTTGTATTGTTCACTGGAAGGATTTTTTATTTAGTTAAAGCCATTGTCAAAACACAAACAAGAATATATATATATACAGCTATATGGGGGTTGTTCTCTTTTGAAAAAAAAAGTGCAAGAACCGGAAGTCCTATACAGTACAGATATACTCTGTAAACAAAATTACAAAACTTAATGGAAATTACACATATTCCATACTCTGAATCAAAAACTAGTGTGCTGCTAAATAGACAGGCACTTGTAGATGTGGATTAGTTTTACTTGGAAGACTTTGTTAGAGTAATTAACTGTAATACATAATGATTTGTTTACTAATTTTTCTTTCCACGCTAAATAAATTAATATTCGATTTACTTGTATCCTCTAGTGCTGAAAGGTGAACTGCAGTTAGATTCATTGAAACAGAAAGGAGCTGTTAAGAGGACCCTCTTCTTTGATTACCATCAGTCATATCATTACTTCTCCATTGTGATGGAAAGACAGAAACAGCTCCATTGCCAGGACTTTCTTGTTTATCTCAGAGTAAGTTGTTTAAAATATTTTGGACTGTCATCTCATCATTTCAATAGTACCAGGGATTTGAAAAGAATCATAAAAAAGGAGTTTTTCTTATGGCAGTCATCTGAAAAGTAAGAACAATTTACAGGGGAACCCAAAATTACAGAAATGCAAGTTAGGTAAGGCCTGATATGGGTGTCCAGTCTATTCTTCTAACAGGGCAAGATTTCCCCTGTGAATCTTTAGCTCATGTTTTGTCAGTGTAAGTATAAAAGAAAGGCTTTCTTTGAAGAAGAGTATACAGTTCTATATACAAACATATTCATTTCATGCTTTTCTGGAAATTCTGGTTAAATTCTGCATCTCCTGCTACAGAAATGCAAGACTGATGTCTCTCATAGTATTCAGAGTGGGATAATCAACTAAGCATTTAAATGTCATGCCATTTCAGTTCCAACAGATATTTTAAAGGACTGTCACCAGAAGTATTGGCCTAAAATTCAGATTTTTTAAAATGTGTAAAATTAGAACTGTGAAACTTCACTGGTGAAAAAGAAATGGTCATTGGTTATTCACCTGTAGCTGGAATTACCTCATGCAATTGAAACAGATTTCAAGGCTGGTCCTAGAAAAGCTGTGAAAGGTGGAATAGAGGAGTCTCAAGCAGTTTGTAAGGGAGTATCTAGGCAATAAAGATAGTGGAGTTTTGCCCTCACTAATGCATATAAATCCTTGGTTATAGAACAAGCCACACAGGCTCTCCCTCCCTTCCAAATACAAGGAGAGCGGTAGCCGATAAGAGTCGGTTCTAGAGCAGCAGCCGATAAGAGTTGGTTGTGTCTGTGTTTTTTAAACAACAGCTTCATTTTAGGCTAATGCTTTGAAAAAATCCTGAGTCTACTCAGCTCAGCCAGCTACTTCTGGATGTTGTCTATGGAGGCATTTCGTTCTGGCGAGGCTCTCTGCTTTCTTAACGCCGCTACATATGGTCAGAAATTGTCCAAGGCCTGTCAAAGAACCATACCTTTGCCTTCAGTAAAGATGAAATTCTGAATCTGTTGCCATTCCATACTCAACTGGAATAATTATATCGATGTATTGTTTTTTATTATGTGATTATCACCCACAGGATGAAACAGAATTCAGAGATAAATTATCTCCCATCAATATGAACTTGAATTATAGCTTGGATGAATCCAGTTTTGAAGATGACTTGGTTATAAAGCCAATACTCAACTATTACCAGAAAAGCACAGTTACAGAACAGGTATGAATTTTGCACGCAACGTTTTCTGTGTATGAACAGGAAAACATTTAAGAATACTATTTGTAGCATCTTTCTTAAAACGGCATATAATTCCCAGAAATTACACAAGGATTTAATTAATTCAAGATGTAAATTGCATATGAATACAGAACCAGGCAGGTCTTTAAAGCATTTCCAAAACTTTGCGTTCATAGTTTTGATTCCCTTCTAGAATGTGTAAGCCAAGTTACTGTGGGAAAGGGCCTGAGAGATTACTGTGTTCTGCTAAGGATGTAGTTTACAATCTCAAATAGTCTCCAACACTACTCATGTTGGGAGGAGCTTATAGAAATAACTATTTCACTAAGGCAGTGCTAGTGATATTTAAGCCAATGAAGTGATTTGAACTTTGAAACGTGTATTCCTTACAACAATACAGGCTTTCATTCTGGTAGACTGTGGAGAGGACAACTTGTGCATTCCTGACTTGCAGCTTTCTGCTATGCCGTAAGTTTAATCAAATAAATGATACCATATATAACAAAATTCAGACACCTGTAGCTGCTTTAACAGAATGAAACATGCAAAACTCAGTTCAGTTGTTGGCAATAGCCATGCATTCTTATGTGATTTCCAGATTTTAATTAGTGCATCCATTTCATCTAGAAAACCAAGAAATGTGGGAATATATGCTTACAAGATGTATGTGTCTGTATCAGACACATTCACAGTGTTTAACAATAATCATAGAAAATATAGTTTACAAATTTTTATAAGAAATGTTTTTAGTTTTCTGAATGCCAAGAGGTAATGCAAATTGTTGTTGCAAGGAGCTTTTTATTTTATTTGTGTCAGTGTGCCAGTGAGTTTGAACTTGGGACACAATTCTCTTGAAGTCATTTTACAGTGAAATAAAAGAATCTCAAAACAAAAGAATTTCAGAACATGACAACAATTCCTCCTGTGGAGGGAGATATATGCCAGGCAGGCCAAGTGGGGAACCTCTGGCAATTATCTGACTCTGTGATAGCTGTGAAAGGAAAGGGGACAGTGCCACTGCAGGTTGCAGGAGATCTTTGTCATTGCTCATTATACAACAGGCATGAGGGGAAAGCTGAAATCCCACCATCTTCATGCCCTCTAGAAAGCATGCTGATGGAAACCTTGTGGCAATTAATTTCCTCCGCTAGATACTGCTGTCTAAGTAGAAAGTAGTCAGGCGCTGAAATTTCATACAACTAACTTTAAAGTTCTGTGGTACTTCCACTACTTCCACTACTTCCAGCCTACTTCCACTGTCCATTTTGTATATTATCTCTGACCTCTTTCCTTCCTAGGTGTACGCACACTTCTCCATGGAGTCATTTTTGTGAAAAAGTTTTACTCTTTGTTCACAAAATATTTTGCAGAACAGATGCTAAGCGAGTCAATTGGCTTTCTACTTTATTTCTGCTTATAACTTCGTTGTGCTTTTTTAAACTCCTGACAAGTAGTATGTTCTGTGTAGAGATAAAGATCAGCTCATAATTGGAGAAGAAAACTGTGTCATGCTCATAATAAATCCAAGGAATGATGGGGAAGGAGCCTATGAAGCTGAGCTACATATAAAGATCCCTCCTGAAGCAGATTACACTGGGGTTGAACGCAATAACAAGGTAAATGAAAATCAAAATGTAAGTGATAGTAAATCAGAAGAAGTGAGAGTAGAGTTAACCTGCACAGGATGTGCCAGCTGAAAGCAGCAAGCAGAGAGCTGGCTCTTGGGAGGGGAGATCCCATCAGCTCTCAACTATCCTTGCTCATATAACACAGGCTGAATATTGGCCATGTCACCAGAGATGCAAAAGTCAGGCTCATTCTATTCAGAGCCAGCTCAGATTCAGCTACTCATTATTGACTTAGGCACAGAACCGCACAAATACTGCTTTTCTTCTTTTAGGACTAGAACTATTTAGGTCATTCAGATTTTGAACCAGTAAACCCCAGCAGTACCAGGGAACGGCAGAACAGAACCACTTGAGTGCTTCCAACCTTGGATGTCCTGGTACCAGCTCTTAGCCACAGCTAATAAGCCCTGCTGATTCCCCCGCACTCAGACATCTCTGTCTTGTACTCCAGCACACCAGTATTTTTCCGTTATTAAAGGTGTCCTAGTCTCTGATATCCTGGATAATTGATCATTAACTGCAGTATGAAACTTAGCAAAGTCGAATTCCTTTCTAGTTGATTATTTTGTCTTACAGCTAGGTCAAAAAAAGCAATTATAATGTAAAATATGCCAGTATTCACAGAACAGCTGATGTAGACTTCAGCCCAGCTGGGCTGTACTGAACTTGCAGTTTCCTTTTTGTGTTTGTTTGTTTGTTTTTAAGAGCAAAGATGAAACACTATCCTGCAAACAAGCAGAGTGTTTAAGTACTCTCTGTTGGACAGCAAATCTGAATCACCTCATCTGCGCATAAATCTCCCAATCTGTTGCAACATGAACTTTCTTTTTTCTATCAGTGCCTGGAATTTTCAGAAGGGCCTCAAGGGTGAGAGTGGGAGAAAGCAAGTTAATTTCCTTTCTGAAAGCAAATATTTTTAACAAAGTTGAAAGTAGCTTACAAGGTATTTTCTTACACTTCTGTAAGTGTATTTACTAATGGATTTTAACTCAATTTGAAAAAAAGAATGACAAGAATTAGTGAAGTTATTGAAGATGATAATATGGAAATGACCTGGAACCTCACTTCTCAGAAGCACATCTGTGTGCACAAAACAAATAAGTAAAAACACCTGTTCCTTCCTATTCTCTGTATTTCTTTTTTTCTTTTAGCGTAATCTCTGATTTTTCAGACTACGATCCGTAAGACGTAAGAGAACTTACGTTCTTGTTAACATACTACAACTGGTTATAGTTTTTTCCTTTGTTGCTCTTTAGAAACCTTTGACTGTTCTTTTGGCTGTTACAAAGGATGTCAGGGGAGGCACTTGATCCAAAGCCCATAGCACATATTTGCATTTATCTATCAGTTGGACTGGACAGAAATCACTCAGGGCTTTTCAATAGTTTAGGCAAAAATTGAATTTTATAGTGGCAGCAGGGTAGACTCAGGGAGAGAGGAAGGAAGGAAGGAAGAGCTGGGAGAGTCTCTGGTGTTTTGGGTGAATGAGGATAAGTTAGAATGAGTTAGGGAGGAATGTTAATTTTCTTTTTCTTTTCTAAAGAAAAAGAAAGTTCAGGAAACATAATGCAACTTTTTCACTTCCTTCAGTTTTTGTGAATGGTAAAATTTTTCACAAGTCCCATTCTGAATCCTCCTTGATTTATAGTCCATTTTAGTCCAAATTTATTATTTTCCGCACATTTAGTTGGTTCACTACAGCAGTCTTTCTTTACTTCATATTTTCTTAATTTCCCTCCCTATTTTCAAAGAGTTGTTATTATGTTCTTTTCAAGAAATATCAGAACATTAGTCTTACTCTCTGTATCATTCTTATGGTCTTTCTCTCTGCACTGAAGATATGGTTTTCGCAAGGATTTCGTATGGTACTGAAAACAAATTGATTCTTTCTGTAAGTTTTTAAATTGTAAAACTATATTTTTGAAAACAGTGGTCTTCATAATGCTGTGGTTGCATTAAATAAACTCAAAAATTCACTTCAAAATGTTCATTTGAAAGAGAAATTGATATTGTACTTTTCCTTAAAAAGACAAAAACGAAACAGCTGTCATTCATTTAACTCCTGATAGAAGTCAGCTCTTGTTGTCTGTATTCAGTCACTTTTCTGTGCTGCTATATGTCACCTAAAACTGCTGTGAACATGACAAAGAAGAATATACAATCTTTATAATGGAAAAAGAAAAGTTAGAATGGAAAAATTTACATGTATTTTTATAACTCAAACATTCTTTTATATCCTTCCCATTCAATTTTCTCATTCACTTTATCCTGTAGGCAAATGTACAGAGTAAGTAATTTGGCCACTCAGAACGAGAATTAGCAGACATTTTCAATTGTTTTTCCAGAGTAAGCAGAATCTTAGATATCTGAGAGTCATGACCAAATTTTTTATACTGATAGTATAATTGAGTATAAATTAAAGAGGAACTCAATTAATTGAAACTATAATGTTTGAAAAAAGGTTATAAAAAGTTAAATATAATTATATACTATAACTATAAGGTTACAAAAAAGTTATGGCAATCTGAACCAGGAGTTTAGAAGAACTTATCACACTGGTATGCAGGAAACACTGAGGTATACAAGGAAAAGATCTCTTGGTCTGTAAGCACTTGGAGACATGGATCATAGATGAAAACTAATGTTTTGTTGTCGGTTGCAGTGTAGTCAAGATTTGACCTCTTATTTTTGTGTTCGTGCAGACCTTGCCAATTGGGTGTGTGTGATTGCTCCTGAAATGTACTCTATTTAATACACAGTACTTTCAGTGAACAGGTGGATTGTGATAAGTACGGTTGCCATCATGCTCTTAAAACTCCATAACTAAGGATTTCATTGACTTTCACTGTATCAGTGTTTACAGTCTTCTCTGTACTTATAATTGAGGTTTTCTCCACATTGCAGACTTCCTTGTATTAAGACAGAGGTAATATTCACCTCTGAGCCAGCAGTACTAAAAGAGCTAGACTGAGGGCAGAACAAATGAAATGTAATGAGCCAAGGAAATCGCTTATTATATTTCTGATGCGACCAAAAAAACTTTAGAGCAAATCATTCCATTATGCTGCCATATTTCAAAATAATTTTACAAGATATTATGCTACTTTATTATAGGGCTACTCTGGATTTAGTCTAGCTAATAGAGAAACAAATTTATTCCTTAAATGCTTCCTGTCCAACGTAAGTTTTTCTATTCACATATGTGTCCATATGCAGGAGGTGTGGAGTGACTGGAATTAGGTGCAATGAAAAAAAGAATAATCACATTACATTGCCTCACATTTCCACATCAACAATAGATCCAGACGCAGTACACACTCATTGTAGGTACCTTCTAACACTACAGAAGCATGGTTGTACCTTGGAGCCCCAAGCCATTGACTGAATACTATACACTAGTCCTTAGCCCAGTGAAAGAGCTTCCCATATCGAACATCTCAGTTCTGCCTTAATAGCAATAGCTGGAACTCAAGCTCTCGTGGAGTAATTAGTGAAAGTAAATCAGATAAATACTTAAGCCTTCATAGCTATTCGTTCCATACCAAAATCATGATGTATTTTGGCATGACTGTCTCTGCTAAGGGTGGGAGCCGCAGAGCTGTGGCAAGTCACAACTACACTTACTTTGCAGTGGATAGTATCTGATCGTTAGCTCCACGTTATTCTGAATTATAGCGTGATACTCTTTTAAAATAGGAAAAAGACCTGCAACCTTCTCATCTTACCTGAAAATTCATGTTATAAGTACAAGGTTGCTGGCTAAATGAGACATGATTTGAGCCTCTTAAGGACAAATGCTTTCATCTATTAGATGAGAAACTAGATTCTGGCACCTTGTAATGGAGATAGATAGCTAATCTATCCACTTCTATATTTTACTCTGTAAAAATGGTGCTTACCTCTTCTGGCATCAATTAGTAATTCGTCACTAAGACCACCAGAAAGAATTTTAAGTTTGTAGGCTGCCTGGATTACATGGAGCATCCAATCATTCTCCAGTTAAAATGTACCCTGGGAACACATGTGTTAATTGTTGGGATTTTGCTGCAGCTCAAGACTGCCAAGAAGGCCATGTGTTACTATAAAAATATAAATTGCTACCAGTGGCAGTTAGAAGGATTTTGTGGCAAAACCTTCTGTCTGGCTGAGTTACATGTGAAATCAATAATTTGGACAATGCTGGGTGTGTAAGTCTCTTTCCTCTTGCTTGCTTCCTGCCTGCTTTTAATTTTCCTGTTTTGTGTTTAACCACCTTAAAAAGGTGATCAGTGAGAAAAAAAAGGCAATAAATCTCAATCCTGAAGGACTTCTATCACAGCTGACCCTTCATCAAATCTTTATAGTGCACAAATCAGCTTTTATGATGCTGGTCATATAAATTCTGTGTCATTAACCAATTTTAGTCTAAGACCATAGCCTTTGAATTGCCTAAAACTTTGCTGCAAAATTCATCTATTGGTTCAGCCTTTGAGGGACAAAAAGCGACAAAGAAACGTGTGATAAAGGCTGGTGTACTTTGCACTGGTGCAGGATACAGCATTTATAAAGAAACTGCAAAGTATTAAATATAGATGAAAGTCTATTTTATAATGTTTAGACAGCATTTTTTTTTAAAAAAAGCCCTACAACAAAACTATAAACCCACACACCAATCTAAAATGAACAATTTTCCAGAAAAGTGAGATTTTAACTGTGTTAGCAACCCTTCTCCTCCCATGAATTGCTTCCCACTCCTAATCAACCAGCTGGAAAGAGTGTACAAATCCCCCACTCCCTGCCTGAGAGGAGCTTGGAATGGCTATTAATTTCCTGGACCTGCTATGTAACAAACTTTGTTTCCTTCAGCAAATTGTTAAAGTGTCACTGTAAAATGAGGAGTGTACTGAGAGCATGCTTCCCGTGGGCTTCTTCTAGGACATGCCCTATCTTTTCTTTTAATCTCAGGAAAAGATAAGATCAGCGTGTCTACAGTGGCTGTTACAGTTGAGGAATGAATTGGCAGTCAGTGGGCTGGAAGTTACCCAGGTCTTTCATACAAAGACTGTGACCTCGCATGTATTGCTTAATCTGTGAGAATCAGAAATGAAAGATGGTGGGAGAGCCCTACAGCCACAGCTCTAGGTGCATGCTGCTTTGACAAAGCTAGCTTACTTCTGCGCATATATGCAAGTGTTTTCTCTTATTGAATATGCCAGAGAGAAAAAAAACAGGACGTTTTATTGGTTTGTCTTACTCTGTATATCTTCTAACTTCTACCACGTTAGAGCTCTTCCTCCCTCTATACAGTCTATTTTGAATACAGATGACGCAACTAGCGATAAAGGAAAAAGAACCCACAGGACACATTTTACAGGTAGAGCTTTAGAGGGAAATTATGTGAGTATATCCCCAAAGTTATCCACCAAACCTGCATTCCCAAACTGGGAAATGTTCAGCAAGGCCACATAATTAGTTAAAGTTTGAGCGTGGTACCTAGATCTTTTTCTCAGCTCCACCAGAAACTTCTATTTGACTGTGGACAAGTCACTGAATCACTCCAATATGCTGTTCCTCAGTTTCTCGGAGACAGTATACTGGAAAAAGCTATGTAACGCATTAAGAGCCAAGTGGACTCTGAAAGAGTAGCAGCTAGGAAACCAGTTAAATTTTGCTTATTGTTGTAAACAGTGAAAACCTTAACTTCTAAAATCCATCTCATTTGTTACTAAATTATGAACACAAGTAACAGTTTTTATGATTGCAGAAGTGTCTGCTGTTCTAAGTACTTTACCATAGGTTGGAAAATAAAATTCTAGGCTTGTTCTGCAACAAGCTTCTGCTATGCCAGAAATTCATTCCAGAGACTTCTAGTGACAGATAATGCAATTGTTGTGATTACTGTGAAGCCTATTTCCTTCATCCAGTTTTATCTACTCTGTTTTACTTCATTGTGGCATTGTGGCTATAGGAGTCATTCACTACAACAAAGCGGCATGTTAAAACTAGAAATAGAGTGATCTCATCCTGGCTCTTAAAGTACTGGGTTGCTTTTCCCATTTGTTTTTCCTTGGCGTCAGTTTTCCCCCATTGTCTGATGATAAGCAATTATGTGTTTTGATAGTGCGCTGAGCAGGTGTCTAAAATCAAAAGAAATGTCACAGTGAAAAAGGCATCGCTTTCCCAGCTGGATACATTTCCCTGTGATCTCTGACCTCCGTGTTGGTGTCCTTTTGTTACAGGCGCTGCGTGTATTGAGCTGTGATTACAAGATGGAAAATGAAACTAGAATGGTGGTTTGTGATCTTGGGAACCCCATGGTGGCTGGAGCAAACGTAAGGGAAAACCGGATGCATTTGCTGATTTTTATCTAACTGAATTTTAAAGGGGAGCAAATGGAAAACAGTTAGCAGAATGCGTCCCAATAAGCAGTACCTAAAACAAATTATTTACTTGGACCAGAAATTGTTGTAGTAAGAGCCTTCACTATGCTTCTGAAAAACTAACAATCTGACGTGTTTAAAGCTTAGTGATGTTAGAGCTTGTTTTTTATTTCACTATTATTCTAAAGAAAATTAGACTCATTGGTGTCACAGGATTTGCACTAGTGTAATGAGAAGGGAATCTCAATCCATGATGTGTGTGTTCATTTCTGCCTTTTAGTGTTCTTTCTGTTTAAGATATGTATAGTAAGTGACATGTATTAGTGTTCCCTTACAAGTTTAAATCATGATTTACATCAGTGAAAATGAGGTTGGAGTCAAGTTTTACTTCAGGTTATTAACAACATTTAAAAATTTTTCTAGGACAGTTATTTGTAAATTGTTCTGCTCGTGTAGGTGGAACATTAGCAGGATAGACAAAAGTGGAGCTGAATACTGACTGAAGATGGACTGCAAATAAGGATTAAACATATTTAGAGATAAGGAAAAAACGCTACCCATTCCACTGATGTCATCACTTGTCCCTGTTTCTTGGCAGAACAATTCAGGGCAAACCCCAGTAGTACTGAACCCAGGAATGTTCTTCCATGGCTTCCCCTTCAGAAGAATTCCAGTACTGCTCATAAACTCAGGGGCATAATGCTATGAGTATTTAACTAGAAATAGAAATTTTAACCCAAGCTTTTATACCTACGTAAACAGCTGCCCTAATAAAAAAGAAACAGTCAACTGCATGAACATATGTGGGCAATAAACAGTAGCTTTTAATGGAAAATTATCACTGTTTGCATTTCGTATTGGAGCTGCTGTAAGACTACAATGGACTGTAAGTTTGAAGGTGGGACTGTAAATAGCTGAAACAGACATTGCGCTTAGATGGCAAAATGGATAGACATGGGAGTCAGTGAGTGTAAAAAAGAGGGCTAAAAATTTTTGGTTTATTCTACTAAATGAAACCCCTAAAAAGAAAGAGTAATTGAAAACATTCTGAAGAATGAAGTTCTCAAAATGGAATGATGAGAGACACCAATATGCCGACACACTAGAAAAACCCAAATCAAGGCAGATAATTCCTCTTACCAGAAAAAAAGGAAATTCAGATATCTGCTGACTTGTTTATTGGTTAATTTCATGGCGGAAGCAAGTTATCAAGATACAGATAAAAGTGGACAGGTATTGTAGATGATTGGGAGAGAGTGGTAGGAAGGACATAAAACCCTATGCGTTTAGAAAAGAAGAAGAAAAAAAGGAAGGCTAAACACGAGACTCACTAACATCATATGTCAAACTAAGAGCAGATTGTCTTTGTGGTGTGCATATTGTCATAAACAGAGGCAATGGAGAGGTTTGCATATGGAGATGTTAGGCTACAGCCCTGCACCCTCCTCCCTGTGAATCCAAAGATTTACTCTCAGCCCTGTCTCCGCATCATCCTTAACCCAAAATGGTAGCAGTATGAGGACTTGGGGAATGCCATTAGGTGGCCACTGGAGTGGTACTGCTCTCTCCTGTCTCCTGATAAGTTTTCACATCATACTAATTCTGTTTTTCTTCAGAATCAGGTCTAGGGCTTCCATAAATGCACAGTTAGCAAATATGCCTAAGCAAAATAAATACTTCATAAAGAGAGACTTTGGAAGTAGCAGTATAAAACAGAGGAGTTCATAACATGTTCAAGTATGTTCTAGCTTATAACAGAAGACTCCACTGCTTGAATATAAAGGCATATGAAGATATACCGTTACAAAGCCAGATGGCAAAAATGTTTGATTATAGTGAGTGAAAGCTTAAAGCATAATTTGATCTTTGAAACCAGTTCTCCTGGAAACTTAGTAAAGGTAACAGAACTTGAGGTTTTTCAGTCCAAACCTTTTTATGATGGCAAACATACTTCCAACAGCGAAATACCAGCCCTTTCTACAAATTGCATAAATCATGACAGGCTGCTCTGATCCATTTCCAGTTTTGCAAAACAATCCTACTCTGGCAGGAGATCAGTTATTCTCAAAATGTTCAGTCAGAAAGGGACTTTTTGTGGAAGTTGTGAAGGATTGGAGAGAGAAGGTTAGGTCAAAATCAAACATTCCTAAAATTCTTAACTACTGAGTCACTGTAATATCTTTTCAGCACCCTGAATCCCTAGAGTTCTTGAAGGCTTTAAGACCAGATTCAGAGTATGAGTCTTATGTCAGGATTTGGTGATGTACCCCAAGGGGTATTACTGCTTCAGTGGACTTACAGAATTGTCTGCCACTGCACATCTTCAACATGCATTATTATCAGCAAAATTGCTAGATCTCTGGCTTTTTGAAAATCCTTGACCATGAAATCATTGCCCACAAACAGCACTTAACCTTTTCCATAATTATATCTGTGTTGCAGAAGAGAAAGATAAAAAGAAAAGGAAAAGAAAATCACAACACCATATGGCCCAAAACGCAAATGAGATCTCTGTGATACCATTTTACGGGGAAATAGGAAAGACACTCAAAGTACTTATTTATGATGCTGAAACGGATCAAACTGACAAGCTTCCTAAGTCCTTATTGTCACTGATGTCTGCTGAACGGCCTTAGCAAGTGAGATGTAGGTTTTGTTAGAAATTCTGCTAGGGTGATGTCTCTACTTGCAATCTCATTATTGGCAGGGGAGGGCAAGGATTGAATAAACTTTGGAAGTGACTAGAAATAAGATTAAATAACTGGGAGGCCTGGAAGATCTTGCGTGTTTCTTAATATGTACCAAATTCATTCTTCAAGACCACTGATGCTATATCTTTCATATACACTTTAAGATACTTCAAAAAAAAACAAAAAACTAACCATCTGTCTTCCAGCATATTCCTAGGTGCTACTGAACATAATAACAGATTAAGAGACTACCAGTAATAAATGTCACGTATTTCAAAAATAAATATTTCTAACATAGCAAATAATGTAATTTCAACAAAACTAACTTCAATTGGAAAATTTAATTAAAATGAAACTAGTATGAAAAGATGAACTTCTGGCTAAAATAAGGAGGTCCAGTGATCACTAGGCCAGACTCACTACAAGTTCAAGCAAATTCAACTCCTTTGGCCTCAGTGGGTTTTCAGCAAGTACAGGTGAGCATCCTTGGCACTTTGTTAGTAGCAATGTCAAGGGCTACTTGATATTCGCAAAGTCATATGACCACACAAAAACAACATCTGCAGCTCATTAGAGCCCTACAGTAGGAGTACGTGTCAGTATGAAATAAGGGATTAAGCCTAGGATGTGAGGGATGTAATAGATCATCAGAACTGCAGTTCATGTCTGCTCTGTTAGATCTTATGAAAAGTAGCTTGAGTTCACTGACTCTTTTTTCTGCTAGAAATGGAAACAAATTTATACAGACTGATGTAAAACAGTGAGAAAAATCTTGAATTCCATATTTGGAAATCTTTTTCTCAGAAAGTAAAAAAAAAACCTATTATATTATTTTTAAATTTGAATGAAGTATCAGGACAGTTGTTAAAATCATCTTCAAAAAGTGACCATACCAATAGCTTACCTCTTTATTCCAGGTCACCTACTCTGTTTCTGTTTAGTTTAAGGAGCATTATCTTTTCATCTTAAAAAATTTACTTCCAGAAAGAGAGATTAGCTATAATTGCAATGCTAAAATGATCAGAATGCTAAGACTTGAACTTGCCATTTCTTTTAGGCTGATGCCATTGCTTTCAGTACAAGATAACAGAAGGAAGTAATTGAAACACGTTAACTAAGGCTAGTTCTGCAGTTGGATTAAAATTCAGTGATCCATCACTGCAAGTGAAGAAACAGAGAAAATTAAGTGAAGATTTAAAAAAATTAACAATGACTTGAAAACGAAAAATTGCTCAATTGGTGTGACCCCCCCCCTTCTACAAGCAGTGTAAAGTACAGAAGAAAATCTTTCCTCTTCAGTGATATTGAACCGTGGTGCCTAAAAGAAGACTGTACATTATTGTGTCCTGCTGTGTTGCTGATGACACTATCTCAAGCATGCCAAGAAAAGCATGCCAAGCAGACAACTCTTTTTCTTTTTTTTCCAAACAAGAAAATTAAAATGAAAAAAAAAAAGCTTTTCAAGTGTAATATACTGAAATATTTGCAGAACTGAAGCCCTGATATCCTCGTTTCCGAATGCCATTTGATGAATTTCTCAGGGTGATTGTTTCTCCACATATATTTAACCATATTTTTAAAAAAAGAAAGCACAATGTGCAAGTTATCTGGCAGGAATTTCTACCATCAGGCAATACAGGGGAGAATAAGAAGTCATGCAGAATTACGGGCTGTATACTTTGCTCTCTGACTCAATGCAAAATTCAGAATTCAAAAATTGCCAAATTCAAAACACGTGCCGTTGAAAGCAGGCAATTAAAAGGATTAATTTAAACATCAGGGTGCAATTTTATTAATTTAATGTGGAGAACAGATGGCATCTCCCCGCCTCCCCTACCACTTGCATACCAGGGCTGTATCTGTGTCCAACGAGAGGGTTACAGAGACCTCACCGTATGTTGCTGTATATCCATTGTTTAACTAGCCCTGGAATTCCATTCTGTCTTCTGAATTACCTTGTTCTGCTTTACTCTGCATCCTTCTTGCAAAGCAAATGGAAGTCATCAGAGCAGGGAGGCTCAGAGTCTGAAGGCTTGAAATCTTTCCTTCTTCCATAAACGCGAAGTGCAGTGGTGGAAGACCTCGTCTCTTTTAGCTTGGGGAGTTACCAGTTTACCCTTTACCTTCACCGGTCAGAAGCTGGAAGTTGTGGCAAACTGAACTGCAAATATAACTTTGAAGTCATATTCCTCTTAACTGGACTATGGCTCTCAGAAACTGCAATGAAAAAACCCAAGGCAAATCAAATTAAAACATCAAGCTTCTACTGATTTAGTCTCTAAAGAAAAAACAGGTGATCAGTCAGCCCCACTACACCTAAAACATGCAGCTCTTATGTCACAGTTATAGACAGAGATGCTAAGACAACTAAAGGAGCAGGAAGCCCTGGAGACCTGGCCTAAGGCATGCCTGGGTGGGGGCAGGGCAGAGAGGTGCCAGGCAGCTATTATTTTCTTTTGGTTTGTCAGTGTAAAGCAGTGAAGAAAGGACCATTTTGTTCTTAGGCACATGATTATCTCTTCCTCTTGATCTTTCCTCTGTCCAGTCAAGTTTTACATCTGTTGAAGTACACAGGCGGTGTTTTCTCCTGAAACTGACTAAGTGATATTATTAAATGCTGATTTGAAAAATAACAATATCCCATACAAGTCCATCAAGTGCAACATTAAATAATACTGCTTTCTCAATGGAGGAGGACCTGCCTTTTTTGCTAACTGTTTCATTTCTTTCCCAGTTCTCTACAGGCATCCGATTTTCTGTTCAGCATTTTGAAAATGCCGATTTCAACATCAGTTTTGAGCTTCAAATAAAAAGGTTAGATGTTTTATCAAGCATATGGTTATTTAAATTCTGAATTCCTGACAATATCTGAATTTAATTCATAAGTTCACTGTAACTCTTCAATGTCAGTAGTTATTTCATGGACTTTCCTATGGTAGCTTTCTTCAGGAGAATTGTAGAAGAAGGATGTAGAGCTCTGTTAGATAATTAGATAAATCAGCCTTAGGGTTATTCTGAGGATTTTTCCTCATTAAAATTCAGGTTAACTGATTTGGTCAGTGTTCTGAGGTTCTTCCACAGAGCTGCCAAATTTGCACTTGGTTCTCCACTTCAGCATTAATGAACAGTGACCATTTTGTAAAAGAGTGCAGTGTTTAAAAACACGTCATCCTCTGAAGAAAAACATCCTGCCACTTCTTCACAGCGACGTAGAAAATAGGAGAGCAATTAAAGCTGCTCAACAGTTCTCCTTTTTTTTTTTTAAAGTGGTAACTTCTTAAAAATAATATTGTCAATGGTTTTTATGCTTCCTGAATATTTGAAAATGTTTCTTGAAAGTCAAAAGTTAAAATTTTATAGGGGATCTAGTTCAAGATACTGGCATGAAGAGAGAAAACTATTTGTTTGATTCAGGTGAATCTTTGTCATTTTTTCATTAGTTTTCTCCACGTTTATGGGGGTGAAACACTACTGCTGGAGAATCTTCTATTTTATGCTGTGCAATACTTCTTTCTCAAGGATAAAAAGGTGCAGAACTCTCCAGAGAAGAGTAACTGAGTTAGAATAATGGCAAGAACAAACCCGAGCCTTTTTCAGTAGGTGGCAGGGGTTTTGCTACATCTGTCCTCATCAAATATACACTGGTGTTCCTCATGAGGCCTTTCTTGCCCCCCACACAGAGACTTAATTGCTAATGTCTGGCCTTTAATGAGGGCCTTGATCATGCTCACTGTAGTAAATAACTGAGACATTTAAAATGTGTAAGTCGTGTTTTCAGAATGTAACTCAGTAGGGAAAGGATATGCAGAAAGGCTCATAAACTAGGGAAGGGTAGTAGACACACGGAGCACTTGGCACACCACGGAAGTCAAAGAGGTGTATGGGCAGGCCTTATACCTAAATAGTTTTTGTGTTATAGGTCCACCATCCAGATCACTGTCCACTGTCAGGTCAACCAATACAGTTGTAAGATTGAAATGGGTATCAGAAGCTCTCCTGACCACCCTTTTCCGGTTGTGAGATGGAGAGGTTCAAAGCTTTTGGGGTAGATCTTTCTACTTAAGAAGAGTTGAGGGTAGGTCATTTTGGTGGAAGAAGTGTCAGGGCTTTACTGAGAAGTAAATTTGAACTTCAGGAGATAGAAACATCTCATACTGACCCCATGAGTGTGACTCAGTAAACTGTAAGGGAAGAAAATCTATTGGACTATCAAGAAGGCAGGGCAGTTTCCACAAACTGACATCAAAAGGCTGAACAGCACTCAAAAAAAGCAAAGCCTCTTGCGTAGGGAATATACCTTATAGTTAAAAACACACTGCTTTGTACATTCCTTCCCAAGCAGCACTACTGTTTATGCATTTTTACCTCCATAGTGAACAGATAAAACAATCTTTAAAAAATTAAGGTAACAGAAGACCATAGAGCAGAAAGAGGAAATGACCCAAAATAGAAAGAAAAAAAAGCAGAAAACATGTATGAATTTGTGTCTTGGCCTGAGTTATTTTACAGAGAGACCTTTAATTTACTCAGAGACATCAAGTGAAAAATAAGTATTTTGATTTGCAGAACGGAGGCTCATTACTTATAGGAAGTAGGCAAGGGGCTGAGTAGTGCCTTCACATCTGATTCTTTCTCTAATGTGGATTTTGCTATGCAGGTATAGACTCTCTAGAGAGGGAGATGTCCTGAAACTTTTATTTAAACTATTAGCTTCTGTACAAAATTCCAGAATGCACAAACAAGATTTTAATAACAAATATATACGATCAAAATCTGTGCTTTAACTCTATGGAAAGTACTACTATAATACAAATTGGAGAACAGCTTGTTCTGAAAAATTAATATCATAGTCATTTTTGTACTTAAAAGCAAATTTTAAGTGACTGCAGCTCAAAGCAATGCCAGTAGAGGAGGATTACATCAAAAGTTCAGCTAATGTTTGAGGAGAATCTGCATTAGTTTACAAACAAATTAGAGCTGCCCTAATTTTAGCAGTCTGTAACCAGAAGGCCTGGATCAAAGCAGTATTGCCCTTCACTCCTCAGGAGTCAGACACTGGGAATGCTGGCCTGCTCTGAATGTTTTCATTTGACTGATGCTACCCAGATGTGATAACAGTAAACTGTGGCGGGAATAGACATTTAGTCTGCATGGGGCAAGGAAGCCCTTCCAGGCTTGCTTGAAAAACAACTCCAAACTTAGTATCATTAATCCCATAATTAAATAAATTCTAAATCTCAAGATGGTTATTTTGACTGTCTCCATGAATTTGTACCTACAAACCTTTCTTTGCGTGAGAGGGCAATAGTCACACAAATAGGCCTGCTGAAGTGAAAGAATCTTTGGCTACTAAAGATTTGGAGTAAGAAAAGCCAGCAAAATGAATGAGAGCACCAGGCTTTAAACGTAAGGATCTATTTTCACTGCTAAGTGGGATTTAAAGTGTGAAGACTCTGGATGGGGGGAGAAAAAAAGAAAGGAGAGGAAACAGTTTACTTCAGTTATTTTTCCTTAGAGACTGTCATGCAGAAGTTACAAGCTTGGAGAGTCATAAAAGCAATCTTATTATAACAAAGGCTATCTTACTCATTAACGCTACCTTCCTCCAATATATGAAGCAACTTTGGATTCTGTTCAGATACTCAGATACATACAGATACCTAAATTGAACAAGGTAATTTACATGATATTCTGAGCTAAATACATTTGTATCATCATTTCCAGGCATAGGATTCTTTAATGGAAGTTTGAGTTGATTATGTTGTTAAACATATGATGAACATAAATAATATCGAACTTAAATACCAGAGTCCTACAAGACTAAGTGTTGCAACAAGCCACATGTTGTACAATGTCCAGTGGCACCACTTCCTAATTGTAAACATTGTAGGTTCTCAGTGCTGTATCTGTAACAGTGTAAAATTCTGCTAAATAGCTGTTTTTAACCCATATGCACATCTCTTCCAGTTCTAACAAGATTAATCCCACCAGCAATTTAGTTAACCTCCATATCAACGTCAGTGCTATGGCTCAAGTACAGATCAGAGGGTAAGTATTCCACCATTTCAATTCTTAACAGTAACTATTTTTTGTAGTGAACCTTTCTATATATTATAATCTCAAGGGCCTTATCCACCAAGAACCCAAGGGAATTGGGAACCCAAGGAATTCTCAAGGTGTCTCAACCCTGTAAGCCTTGCAGGATGGAGCTACTAAGGATTTATCCTGTCGTGTAAAGCAAGACTGCCCACGTGAACTCCATTACACTTATGGATGTCTATGCAAATGCAACACTAGAATCCTAGACTGTAATAACAGCAGTTGGAGCTAACATTTTGTCTGGGCATTCAGACTGTGTCCGTGGATGGTGCTAATGAAGAATGTCTGTTTGGATGTGTGGTCTGCTTGTGAAACCATCTATGCACTTAATTCTGAACACCAAAGAAGAATCTGCTGTTTTTATTACTGGAATGATGAGGCATATGTTTTATGGCAATGCATATGCTAACAGGGAGCATAGTGAGACCTTGGGAGAGAGGATGAATAAGGAATGAGCTATAACTATGACTGGAGTACAAGCAGCTAATACTGTAGATTTCTTACATTTTTGTCTGAAGCAGGTGTCTGTCCACTATACAGGGATACTGAAAATAAATGGGCACTGGGATTGCTTGAGGATTATAATTCCTACTTTCTGTATTCTCACATGCAGTTTGGTTTAGGAACCTATAAAATGCAATTAGTTGATAAGAATCTCAGACTACCCTGTAAAGTCTTTGAACTAGACTTCTATTTTGGCATCCTGGACGGAGTCGGCAGGATGTTCTTTAAAGCAAATAATTGTCCCAAATGCTTTTTGTCTGGGATCTCAGATTTCCTCCATCTCTCCTTCTCAGACTATAGCCCTGGACCTTACCCATGCTCAGCACTGCATGGGGAGAGCAGGAGGGACATGCTCCAGCTTTACTCCCATAGTCAGGCCATGAGACCTGGCTAGTGCACGAAGCGTTGAAGTCTCTTTTATGATGGACCTCTAGGGGCTGCCACCTGCCTCCTTACCTTAGATGCATGCAAATAAAAAATGTATTTAGTTATGCATTTATGGATTTATAAAAATCTATTTATTATAATTACTTATCAGACAATACTTTGATAACCTAGAGCCAGAAAAGATTTCAACAATTTTGCAGATCATGCAGATCATATTTTCTGGTCTAATATTCAACTAAGACTATTGGGGAGTTTTCTAAAGTATTTTTCATCACAATTTTTAAGTGCTTTCCAGATTAAGAAGACTAGCAATAATGTTGGAGATAAATAGAAAGGAGAGGATAGGCACACAAAAGGACATGCAAGCATAGGTTAATGCTCACATTTCTGAAAAGGAGCAGTAGAAAGATAACTCATTTAACAAGAACAGAAATAAGATTAGAGTTTTGTTTTCTGTAGTTGTTAGTAGTGGTCACAGAAAAAATGAGCTAAGGAGAAAGTGTCATACTAACAAGGTGAAAAATACAAAATGAGGGAGAAGGTAACACAGAAATAGAAGTAGAGGCTGAGAGAATGAGATTCAAAGGTGTTTGTTAGCCATGGGTGGGCACCCAGGTTAGGGAATGGCTAGAGTTTCAATGCACAAATAAAATGGTTATGGATACATGAGACTTTTCAGTAAGGGCTGCTTTCAGGGCTGCAGATTCTGATTTTTTCATTGAAGTTGCTCATCAGTTTCATAAAAGAATCTTATAAACTCTTTGGGTTCTTTACCATCATGTTCTTTCTATGCCATAATAAGTTCTTTTTAATTAAAAGCTCTGTAATAAATAGGCACAGAAAAACTGCAAAAACAACCTCAAATGTTAAAAAGAGCATGCCCACAAGAAGGAAAGAGAGGTTTGAATTGCTGTCTATAGTGCTAAAAACAGGCAGTTAAATGCAAAGAAATTATTTAATTGAATAACTTCCTTTCCTCTTAAGTCCTTTGGTTTTCATATGAACTATAGCATGCATGTACAAAGGAAAATTCCCAAATGCTTTTTGATCTTGCTAATTATTTCAAATATGCTGAAACATACTCAGCTCCAAAGGAACTATTTGCTCAGTATTTCTTAGATAAAAATATGAGAGTGTGTCCACATTTGAGCAGGGAAACATCCTGCATTGGTTTCCCTATTCCTCTGTGTAGAGTTGGGCTTAGTGATGAAGTGGGACTGAAATCAATATATATATTACTGAGTAAAACCAAACACAGTTAGCAAATTATGTGGATGCACACATGCATATATATATACAGTGGGTGCATGTAAATACCACCTCTGTGAGAAAGGAAGAAATGTAAGGTAGTTTATTCAATGAGTAATTCCTTTGCTAACTGTTGAGATTTGATTATTCTACTTACCTTTTTTTTCCATAAGAAGTTTAACTGTTTACAGTTTTACAGTTGCAGTTGTGATTCCTACTGCTGAAAGAGCAGTGGAGGAATGAGGGGTTGAGGAAGGAAGTAATTTGTGTTAGGAGGACTTGAAGCAGGCAGAATTCTTATTGGATATCCCATGAATCACTTTTTGTAGAATGTACTTCCTTTACTTTATTCTTCAACAATCTTGTTGACTGAGCACCTAAAAGTCTAGGAAAAATCCTCATCTAATAAATCATTCAAATGTTAAAAATACTCTAAGTGAAATGCAAAATAAAATAACCAAAACAGAGAGTGTTTCTATTTGATCTAATTTTAATTCTTTTACATCAGTATCAGAAGTCCTCAAAAAAACTCTGTAAACTCTACCAAAAATGTGCATATCCTTATAGACTTAATAATCATTTTAATTAAAGGCATACATTTAACTTTGTAATTCTGCTGATGAGAAAGACTCTGCACAGGGAATATAATAGAAAACACAAGTCTTTAAAACTTTGCCTGCTTCTTTTTATTTATGTACGCTTTGTGTCTTGCAATATTTTTATGTTAGCTTAAGGATCCCTATGTCTGGGCTTTTCTAACAACACAGGAAAGTTCCTATTCTCCAGAGATGATTTATAATTAAAATACTTCTTGTAAAGCAAGGCCATTTGTGAAATATAGCAAGTTAGGCAAAGTACCTCATTTAAAATGGCTTTTTATGAATATGTTTCATTTTCTTTATTATTTGGTTTTAGCTTGTAAATTTGTCTTCTGGCATACTTGTTAGTAGGAACTTCTGGCCTTTTGAATACTGGGGAATTATTTTGAGTTAGAAATATACTCCAGGATGCCTTAAATTTCATGAAGTTTTGTACTTTCAGCCAGATGGTATTGAGTCATTCTTCTCCAGAATCCTATGTTATTTTAAGAAGCTGTATGCTGTAGACAAGTTTCTCTCAAACACTTATTTCATGGTACCTGACATTAGAGCTGGACACAAGAACTCTTTTTTCTTCCAAAAATATTTTGAAAATGTCAGCATTCACAACAAAAATAGTCTTCCGTTCTCAGTGGGCAAACTGCACTTGGAGTGGTGCTTTATATGTTTAGTTTCAATGGAAAGTCAATTAACATCAGTGGATAGAGGTCCATCATTATTATCTTCTCTTTTTAGTCAAACACTATATTCTGCAAAAAATTCATTAGCAATTTTAATTTGTTTTAAATTTGTTCTGTCAGCAAACTTCCAGCTTTGACAGAACACTTATTGAAATTGTATGCCTTTTTTGTACACTAAAGAATCTGGAGACCAGCAAAACTGAGTGAGAACTGACCCTTGAAAAGAAAGGGTAGTACTTAGTGTTTTCATACCAAGAGCTACCTCCAACACAAGTAGATGACAGATATCTGGGCCAGAATTCACCTATGATGCTAAGAGAAATTCTTGGGATCTGATTTCCTAAGATCTCAACAGTTAAACAAGGTTAAAGTTAATACTTGAACACGACCCATTCAGGGAGCTTCCAAGTTTTATCAGAAATAATGCTGATGATTCAAACAGAAACATTGGAAGGAGGCTGCTTGGTCCTTTCTAGAGGTCAGGCAGAAAAGGGAAAAGTAATAAAGTAGCAAAATAGTGGACAGATGTCATAGTCTAAGTCACTGTCTTTATTTATGTTTGATTTAGATTTTGAGTGTTGCAACAGTGTTTTCAGGCAATCACCCTAAGTGCCACTTTATTTGCCAAGCAGATGGGGAGGTATCCTGCAGTATTTCAGGCTCTAGCCTTGAATTCAGTTTCTTGATGCATCAGTTTCCATTGTGACTGCATGGAAGTAATTTGCCCTATCTGTACCTCAGTTTCCCATCTGTAAAATGCAGTAAATGACTGCCTGGACAGACTTTTTTAAGGATTAATAACAGAGGTTATGAGGAATTTACAGTAAGAGCATTTAAATAAATATCTCCGATACTAAAAACTGTATTGCAGGGAAGAAAGATGCACAGCATTAAGCACCTACATGCTCTTGATGAGAAAGAGAAAATACATTTATTTACCTACCATTACTCTAGTTCTATGGATAATCTGTTCAGATACCTCACGAGGGAGAATGATCTCTCCTGAGTCACTTCCTTGTTTGGAAAGGGCCATCCTTCAGGGGCGGTATGAAACTAAAATGCTGTAAGGCTTTGGTAGGGCTTTATGGAAGCATCATGTTGTTCACCTCACCTAATTCTGATGGATCTGCCTTAAATGAAATGTCCTTTCCAGAGAAATATCCTTAAGAGTTCAGCTTTCTACGGTGGTCTAAATTTTGCCTAAAGGTAATATCACTGATAACTGGCAACAGTTACCATTTTAATCCTTCTTATATATTTTAGGGTGTCTCACCCTCCACAAATTATTTTGCCACTTCACAACTGGGAACCCAAAGATGAACCTACAAAAGAAGAAGAAATTGGTCCTTTAGTAGAACACATCTATGAGGTAAAAATGACATATGTTTCCTTAGGACTTGATACTATTCCTGTTGAAATCCTGATGCATGTGGGTCATTGTCTTTACCTACAACTAGATAAAGTGCAGAATATGTAAATCTTATGACTTTAGCACATGGTCCAGATTTAATCAGGCAATTCACAACTCCAGTACCTATTCATGTTAGTGGTGGAAACACTAGTTTATGCTGGGAATCTCTTTGACATTTAAGGCATCTCTAAATATTTTAGATGTTTGACAGAATTAGAAACAGTGCATGCAAGCTCATTAGAGTCCATGTCAAACGTTTCCAGTGAATTCACTGAATTTTTATTAAAAGCTATGTATGTTATGAACAGGAAGGCATATATTTCTTTTAACATTTCGCTAACTGAAAAAATGTAGAGATGTAAATGTAATATTATCTCATAGCCCAGGAAATACTCTTTTGAAAATAACTCAAAACTCTTTTGAAGTATACGTATTTGTATCCTTTGTTGTTATTTTTTCTATTGGTCGTTCACAAATGAAAAAAGGAAAGAAGTTTAGGTTAGAAACAAGTGCTTTGAGTGAGGTTAAAATTTCGCAAGACTAATACTGAACTGCAGTGAATCAGACTATAAAATACAAAATATTATTTGTGAATTCCTCCTCTAAAAACATTTCTCTGTGTTGAAAAATCTGTAACAAATCTTTCTGTCTCACCCATTTGGAATGTTGGTAGAGCAATATGTGTGACCTCAAGCACACTTGAATAGTTAGAGTGATTAAATACTTACAGTGATTAAAGAAGCCTTTTTGGTGGTTTATTGATAGCAGCAAAGCATTAAAAACCTTAAGCCCCACCCCAAAACCCTTTACTGAAGAAGATTCAGTATTGAAAGTGCATTTTATCTGGTTCTAAATAAAGCCCATGAATCACAAAAATACTGTACATTTAAAAAGGAGGCCTCTTTTCATCTCTAGAAACTTTGAGTAAGGTCCCTACACTGTTCCTTCCTGCTGTGACATTCTGCTTCTTTAGCTCTCATACCCAGTGTGAGCACATATCCAAACTTAATGCGGTCGTCAGATATTTTCCAAATTATAAACTCATATACGAAAACTATTTTAATAGCCCATAGTTTTTTAGTTTCTATTATTTCTATTTTTACTCATTTTCCCAGGAAAAAATGTTCTCCTAGGATGTTACTCTAGGAATACTACTTCCTTTTTTTCTTTTGGAGAAACTTGAACGGAGAAGGTTTGAAAATAAGAGTTGTTAACCACAAAAACTAGTTGAGGATCCTGCTAAAAACTTTTTATTGCTGCACCCTGAAATGTGATTCTTTTCTGTCCTGAAGTTTCAGCTACTATTTTCCAGTATTTTCTGTTAATGATCATTGTACATGTTTGTATAATGTGTTTTGCTAGTATGCTTTGGTTTAGGGGTTAGATTTTTTTATTTTTGTTTTTAGGTAATTCCAGGTCTTTCATATGTAGGAAAAAATGGGAAAGATTATGGGTTTCTTAAATATGGACTCAGACAAAACAGGCTGGTCTCCCAGATGCGCCACTGGCTTTATAAATAACATGGGAAGGTCCTGTCACAGGTATTTCTATCAATAAAATGAGAATAATAATTTATACCTCTTTTCCAAAGCACTTTAGACATGTGAACGTTAAGAATTTGAAAATTTCTAAGTGGTGATTGCTGTGATTTTTTGTTATTATTTGCTGCCATGGGAAGCAGTACACTGAGGATATTTGTTTGACAGCTGCACAATATAGGACCAAGTGCTATCAACAGTACAGTTCTCCATGTTGGCTGGCCTGTGTCCAGTAGAGAAGAATTTCTTCTTTACGTTCTTCATATTCAGACACATGGACCATTGCACTGTCAGACAAGCTCTCCTATTAATATAATGCAAATAAAGGTAAGTCATCCCCTATAATTTCCATCTCTTTCTGCCCTTTGCTTGATTTTTTCTGCCTACTTCTTCACAAGGGGTTGGAGCTTTTAGGGAATTGTTGACAATGATCCTGAGACGATTTTCCTGGGTAAAAAGCAAGTTATATAGAGTCCAGAATGTGTGCGGTAGTGACAGGTGCATTGTGTGATACGTGTTGTTTCTATGCTCTTCTTATGAGAAGAAACTTGGTTTTTGATGCAGTATTGCAGAATTAGATATAAGATAATTTTTTAAATGGGAATTTACAGTTTTATTTTTTTACAGTATTATTTTTTGCGGTATTATTTTTGAGAGTCGTTTTTAACATGATTTTGACACAATCTTATGGTTCTCATGTGACCCTGAAAATTCTTGAGTCCAATGCAGTACATTAATTTGGAAAGTTACCTATATATTAATGCTTAGAAGATGAACTCCAAAGGTAACATAAGCCAATGTTATGCCAAGGGATGCACACTAACACGCTGCAGATGCTGAGTACCACAGTTCTCCAGTGTAGCCTGATATAATGTAGCTCTGATTGGTTTGCCAAAAATCTTATATACAGACCTATTAGCAATGGGGAAAATCCTGTGTAGCACTATAGTACAGTATTGTTAAATTGAAAGATATGAGGTTCTCAGCGTTGGTTAATAGACAGCCAGAATGCAAGGTATTGTGGCATCATGCATCTTCAAAGGGTGTACAATTTTAGTTTTTTTATTCTAATACTAATAATTTATTGCTAGTTTGTATAGTGGTTTGGGGTTTTTTTTGTTTTTTTAGGATCAGAAGATAATTCAGGTTGAAAAAGATATCAGGAGGTCTCTAGTCCAACCTCCTGCTCAAGCAGGGTTAGTGTGAGGGCAGACCAGGTTGCTCAAGCCTTTATCTAGTCTTGCCTTGAAAACCTCAAAAGACAGAGACTGCACAACCTCTCTAGGTAACCTGTGTCTTCATGTGCCTCATGCTTGATTGTCCTCTCAAAGAACAAAGTTTGTCCCTCTAGCCAGCTGCAGCCCCTCTTGTTTCAATTTATGCCGATTGCCTGTCATCCTCCACCATATACCTCCATGAAGAACCTGGCTCCATTTTCTTGATAACCTCCTTGCAGGTACTGGTGGGCTTCAGTCCCCTGCAAAGCCATCTCATCTGCGGGCTGAACAAGCCCCAGGTGCTCAGACTCTCCTCACAAGGCAAGTGCTCCAGCCCTGACCACTTCACTCCAATTTATCAATGCCTTTCTTCTGCTGAGCCCCCCAAAATGGGCACTGTATTCTAGACATGGTCTAACAGGTGCTGAGCTGAGGCATATAGTCACTTCCCTCGATGTGAGCTCGGGATGCTGTTGGGCCTCGTTGCTGCCAGGGTCTGCTGCTGACTCTTCTGCAGCTTGACTCAAGTCCTTTTCTGCAGGCTGCTTCTTATCTGGTCAGTACCCAGCATCTATTACTGCCAGGGGGGTTCCTTTCAATGTGTAAATTATAATACATATATATTTTAATATCATATAATGTATTTTATAGTATATTTAAGTTCAGCATAGTGAGAGAAAATATACTTTGTAAAAGGGGAGTCCGTTTAGAAGCCTGTATTTTTCTACTTGTCTTAAAGAGCTCATGATTTTAATTTTTCAAAGAATATGCTTGGAATAACCTATAAAATGAAACTACCAAACAGAATTCTGGAAGGAATGTACTCAAAAAATGGGTTTTTATGAACTGCCACCTGATAAAAGGATTCATATGCTCTACAATTATTTCATGGCTTAATCAAAATTAACTCATAAAAGTTGCAACTTTGTCAGCAACATGACAGGCTATTTAGTTTTTCTACTTGGAAAGTATTCTATAATTATTTTAAACATACCAGCAAAAAGCAAAAAAAGCCACCAATTCCCCCCAATGATTTTCAAAGCAATACTTCTAAGTATTGTTTACTGTCTGTATTATTTTCCCTTCCTTGGGCATGCTTCTTCTTTTATAGCAGAGCTGCAGATCTCTTGAGTTTGGAGGAAACATAAACAAAGCTGCAGATCTCTTGAGTTTGGAGGAAACATAAACAAGGGGAAGCCTAGTAGCAGCCTCCTCAGCATTGATATGCTATGGTAGAAAAGCCTGTTTTAAAATCTATGTTTTTGATGGCAAATCCCCCCCTCAAAAAGCTGAGTTTGGCTCAAAGTCAGAAGATTTAGGAAAACACAGCTCTACTTATTATCCCATCAAAAGCAAGGTATCCAATTTATTAAGCATAACTGATTCCAGACACTTCTGGAGTAAACAACACTTCTCGAGTTTAACCAGTAGTCTGTTAAACATCTTGCAGGGAAAGCTGTGTTCCAAATGCTAAAACTACTGTATATCTTTTGCATACCAGGAGGGGTTCAAATTTAGTGTAGTGGATGAACGTAGAGATAGCTTTTTAGCAAAGGGGATTTCTTATCACTGCAGTCAGTAGCTACAGGACAAGGCTTTAGCTTAAACTTGTACTACAGTATGTACTTAGAAGAATATAGAAAAACTGGTGTATGCCATATTCGTTATGGCTAAATTTTTGTGTTTCACTCAGGAAGCGAAGAGGGATTAGGGTTCAGCCCTTTCATTTAGTTTCCATTGAGGAAGAAAAAGGAAATGAGTGATAGGGAACTGAAAATAGAAAATGTTTTGTTTTATACCCAAAACACAGCAAGTTTTGAACTAGAAAATTTTTTTTTCAACCCCATTTCCACCTATTTTTCAAAAGGAGCGAGGAACAAGAAGCTGCACCACTGCATTTGTATTTACAAGCCTAGCATCTCAAAGCCACTGGCCAGATCAGGTTGCAGGTACATGAAAAGGAGTTCAGCATCCCTCTCTCCCTAGCCACTGCTTTCTATTTTAAATTTCACTTAAGCTGAGACAGGAGCATTATTGTCCGAAGGGAAGAGCTCGGTGGAGAAGAGCCATAGTTCTTAATGACATTGTCAGGCAATATATTTTCTGATGATTTTTTACCCTTTTGAGTTTGCTCTTCCTCTCCACTGCATTTTGATAATGATTACATCTGTTACATAAACAAGACTAAATTCTAATGAGGCTTATGTGAAATCTGCCTGTAACAATGAAATAATGGTCCATCTGTCATAGCAGAATATGGCTAATATGGCTTTAGATGCTCAGTCATTATTGCAAGAATTTAAACATCCTTTCCTTATTTTAGCTTTTCAAAGCACCGAACAGCATAAATACACAAGTTAAGTGTCGAATATATAATGTTATCTGTTGCTTCAGATGGGAACAGAATACAGAGGCAGCTTCCTTCAGGTTTTGTGTAAGCAGCAGGATATCTGGCTGAGATTCCCAAAGCAGGCTAAAGACTTTGACTCCTCTTGGCTCTCAGAACCTAGCTCTCTTAAAGTACTTGGATCCTTTCCTGTAGCTTATGCTTTCTGTGGGGGATAGTAAAATTAGGAAACTTGCAAAAGGTACTTGCAAAAGGTGTGAAGAGGGGCAAAAGGACTGATCAAAGGTATGGAACAGCTTGACGTGATGGGTAACAATGTTAAATAGGTTCTGTCTTCAGAAATCGTGTTTCCTTATCTGTTTAAGGGATTTGCAATCCAGTGCTCTTTGTGAATTATATGGCATTTGCAAATATATGCAGAATATTGTGAGTGAATATTCTGTGGCTTTTTCATGGTATGTCTTCCGCTGAAATCCTTTGATTATGATTTCAGCTACAAAACAATTATTTCAGAATAGCAAAGTACAGGACACAGGGCAGCAAGCATATATGTACATGAATAAGGGTGCGTCCTGTTAATCACTGAAGGCTATTTTTGAACCTTTGCTGTAATAATTTACTACTGAAGATACTGATGGTCTAGAATCTATGGAAAAAAAGTATATATAAAAATCTGTCTAATATTCAAAGGGATCTATATATGTATCAATTGTCATCATATATTAGTGCTTCTTTAAAAATATGTCATTATAGTGTGGTTCTTTTAATCTGTCATAATTAAAGAACACTACGTACACTGGTGAAAGAATCCTGTGGAGAAAATTCCCATATGTTATCACATTGAGAGGAAGACATTTACTAGCTAATTAACTGTTCCCTTGTTGCAGAAAGACAGTGTTAACCTAATTAAGCACAAGAAAGAAAAAAAGATTTTCCTTTCTATCTAAAGCGTTTTTCACCAGTTAATAAATTGTAGTATCTTTCACTTTGTAGGATGCTTTTGACCGAAGATCTCAGGCAAAGTCAAAAAAAGCTCCTTCTTTAGCCTCATCATTTTTATTAGCTGCATGGTACAAATTTGCCAGTCCAGTACTACTACACAGTATTAGTGTGTGCAAGGTCTGGTCTTGTGTTTTTATAGGTACTGTCTTCCCTTTGGTGCTACAACATTTCTTACAATTGCAAACATATTCTTTAAGAATTTATTTAAAAATATTGTTCTCAGAGGTTAAAGGAACAAATAAGATGCATCTGATGTAGCTGTTTCTAATCTGAGGGCCTTAATGAGCAGTGCTGACTGTGTTTAGGTGAGTTCCTGTTGAGATCTTCTCACAAACTTCCACATATATTTTTTGTGGTTTGACATGATATGATGTCATAAATTAAAATTTATCTTTCATTCCATAGAAATTGGGATCCCAGGCATTTCTGTGAGGCTTCTTGAAAGAACAAGCTTTAGATGATTTGTGAATAAATTAAAGACAAGCCACCAACCAAAAACATAGGTTTGGGTTGTTTTTTTATACTAAGTTGAGTAAAGTTTGTTACCAAAACCAATCTTTAACAATGAACAAAAGATGTGTTGCTAGAATTCAAACTTCCCCTTTTTAGGCATATTCTGATCTGAACTAACAACCAGATTATAGTGCAGCAACTTTGAATTTATCTTGTTTGTAGAGATCAGGATCTTGCCCCAAGAGTCTAACAAAAACAAGTACAACAATGAAATTGACTCGAGTGAAAAAGGGAGAGTGGAAAAAAGTTATCATCTACTGCAGTTCCTACAACCGGGCGGTAGCACTTGCTGTGCGATTACTAATCCTGCTCCTAGCTGAAGACAGTATATTCTCAGGGCTATGCTGTTAGATTGAAAAAACAACGTTAATCTAAATAGGCAACTTCTAAATAGGCAACGAATCTGTTAGAGTCATTGTATGGATATATCGTTACCAATCACTTTTTTATTTTTACAGTTTGCTGTTCCACAAGACACTCCAGAACTAGCTGCTTTTTTACATAATTCCACAATTCCCCATTACATCAGGAGAAGGGAGGTCACGTTGGCAGAACCTCAGAGGAAAAGCTCCGCAAAAATACTGGTAAGCTAGCTAAAACCTGTAAACCGGGATTATGTGTACAGCATAATCAGAATGGCTGTTGGTTTGACTGCAATGGCTTTACAGACTTTTTAATACCGTTCTGACTGCTTTTTAAGCTCTCATTTTTAAATAGTTTGTTACGTATCACGGTGCCACAGGTTAGAGATTTGTTTGACAGATTTTTACTTAAGGATCTTGCAGGCTAAACTCCTGGCTGTCCTGCTCTGGGCTGCATGCAGACAGACCCCTGTGGTCATGCAATGACACACTCAAGGCAGGAATTTCAGTGCAGATTTAGGGGATGGGCCCCTGCTGCACACGTAGTGCATCCCTGTGTCTCAGGGCCATAGTCTGTACTGGTGAAATTTCATATTTTGACTTTTGAAATGTAGGTCTCTTCTTGTTAAGCTGACCACTGGGGATCTGGCTCTTTCATTAAGAGTAGCTCACGCTTTAAATTAATGTTTTCGTATGAAGTAACAGCTCTGACATACGAGTACTTTGGAGTGTATTTGTTCCCCCCAGTAAATACTTATCTCAATACTTACCCAAGGAAAGCTAAACATCTTTTAACATGCCAAGGCAAAAATGACCGTTCACCTCGTTTTTAGCATTCCAACCAATGCTTCAAAGCAGCTGAATTGTTTATAATGATGAGCAAGAGCAAAGATCTCTCTCCCAGCTAGTCTAGGAAAATATTTCTGATTAGTCAGTCTGGTACCCGAGTATTTGAATTTGGCTGTTTATTCTGAAAGGTTTTTTTTTTTTTCCATTCTGCAGTGTTCCATTTTTCACGTCCTTAAGCGTAATAGTTATTAGCTCCCCTTGCCTAGCGGCTGTGTTCTGATTTGGCCACCATGAGGTCGGTCGTGGGGTTCCTGCAGCCAGCGCTCTGCATTTATTTTTATGAACTGCAGGCAGAGCTTCTCTCATGGTGTCCAGTCTCTTATTAAACTGTTTAGTGCAAGCTCATGTCCGAGTTCCTTGACATCACTAGAATTTGGCAGGAAAAATGAACTGCACAGCCCTAGATATTCTGGAGTAATAGAATTAAGGATTTTAATGTTGCTTCTGAACGTTAAATTTGGCAATTTTCATAACAGGAAAAAGACAGGATCTGAAAGTAATTAATACCATATTGTTACTGTGAACAGAATCACAAATGAACGCATTTCAAACAGTAATCACTGCTGATTCCTATATAATTCTTTTACCAACCTAATATCCTGGGAAGAATCTGATTCCTCTGATACTAAAGCAAACATGCCTAGGCTTTCGAAGACATGCCATTCAATCCCATAGAACACTTAGTCCAGTCTTCAGTAATACCTAATTCTGAGTTATCTTTCTCAGTAATAAGGCTTATATGCTGCCAATATAGAAATTGCAGCAGCAGCTGTGGTATACCAAGTTCATAAGCATGTACTGTGTCTCTTGTTACTCACTTTAAAATATGAAGCAGAGATTTTTCGGCTGCTTAATCTAAACTGATAGCAGTCAACTGAGTACACAGAAACCTAAAATTGGCACATGTGATGAGCAGTCTTCTAAGCACAGATTGGGATAGGACTGGGTACAGTGCCTATCACTGCATATATAGCAGGGCTTTTTGATCAGGATGGACATAGAAAAGCAAGCAAATGTATCATGTGTTCAATGAGGTAGGTGACACAATTCCATATGCCTTCAGCATTAGGTATTACGGATCAAAAAATGTTAAATTTTTTTGATTCATTGAAAGTATTCATGCAAAGTGAATGTTGTCCCAGAAAGTGGCTGGTCCAAAAATTATTTTGGTCTAAATTTTCCATTTTTTGGTCTGATGTTTTAAGTTATATTCATTTTCACAGAGAAGAAAAATGTTCCGAGAACCTCTTATTCTATTTATGCTGTTTATTAAACATTTGGTTTCTGTTCCATTAATTCTAATGTTACAATGTTCTGTAAATCACTAAGGGCTGAATCCATTGCTAAGAAAAATAGAAGTAAGTGCTCAGGTCCTAAAATGTCAGCCAAAAATAGGCATACTAATGATTTATTTTGTTAATACATATTTTTGTCCATGATGATGAACAAAAACAGCCCTCCTTTTTCTTGCAAGATAAGTAAATCTGGCTGGAGGAAGTTTAAATATGAAAAGCCAAATAAACAAATCCTCTGAAATATTCATTTTAAACAAGGTTTATAGTTGCAAGTTTCAGGGTTTACAGTTTCGTTTTCAGGAGGATTTGGAAAACAGTGATTAAGCACACAGCTTCTACTTGTTATAATGTAAGAGATTTGTGGGGAATGCTGTCTGTAGAGGTTCAGGATTCCGTAAGGATGTTTTCAGATCTATTATATCCATCACCATATCAGTTTATGAAGTGCGGTCCTTGGTAGTGCAGCCATTCTCACTCTCCTAAGTGTGGAGAGGTGTGCTTTGTTGTTAAAATATGGATCAATTAAAACTTCAACCTTTTACCATTCAGTTAAAACCCATTTGTATACCTATACATTTTCTCAGAACCATGACACACACTTAATTATTCCTCTATGAGATCTGCCTTCCTTTCTATGCCCCATACAACCCCATCATTTCTTTGATTACCCCATGAGACTCTCCTCATTGCCTTCAGTGGATTTCAGTCAGCTTTTAACCTTCTTGGTGGCACTCTTCTGGTGGACTTTAACAGAGTATGTAGTTTTGACTTGCATTGCTTGGCTTTTGCCTTCAGTCCTGCATGTGAGCCAGAATCACCGCTCATCAGGAATGTTTCGTGGACCACAAGCTTCAAATGGAGCAACTAATGAATCTCAGCAAATGTTCTGGCTGCTGTAATGTAAATATCAGTAAGAAGCCTAGGAGAGTCAGAAGAGGGAAAAGATTTAAGAGCATAAGTACAGACTTTGAGGTTAGAGAATAGAAGAAAACCTTGTTGAAATGACTGTTAGAGAAAATGAATATGCTTCAAAGATTGATAAGTACTTGGACGTTTTTAAAGTTCTTCAAACCAGATTGTTGCAAGTTGTTACTTTTATTTTCTTTGCTATAGGTAATTAGTTGTATTTGTTGGCGGCACAAAAAGAATCTCCCCCTGGTTTATAGTTCTCACAAAGACTCATGAGCTCTCTCTTATATATTATATTGGATGAAATTACTGATTTCAGGCTGCTTAACTCTTTAAGGGGAAGTTGATTGGTTTTGCTAATATAGAGCATTTGTAAGTGTTTTCATAGATTTTTAAGAGATAGGTATGACTTCCCTTTATTTTGTGCACAGAACTGTACAAATGTGAAGTGTATCCTAATTTCCTGCACTGTGGGACAACTGGAGAGAGGGAAGAGTGCAGCGTTAAAAATCAGGTCGCGGCTATGGGCCGAAACTTTCCTGCAGGTAATACACACAAAAATCTCTTTCTATACGCACAGACCGTTGCCTCTTTTATTTGATCAGATAGTTAAGGGTGTAAATGACAAACTTAGAAGGCCCAAATGCAAATCCTTTTTGTCATCACTTTGAAAATAACATCTCACTGGTTCCTGTTCATGTCACACGCATGCTGTTTACTACTTCTTCTCTCACTATCAGTCCCTCTCAAACTCATATCTTGAATCTTTCCTGAAAACTCAAATATTCACCTTTCCTGTTTTTGTCTCTACTTTCTTGGACCCAAATCAATATTCTATTAAGTCCCCATAATGGGCTCTGCACCTCCGTCTTCCCTGGTGTATCAGGCTCATATGACATATAACATTCACATGCAGTCAAGCTGTGACTTACCATGAAAAAAAAAAAAGGGACAGTGCAGACCATAAAAAGGATGAGCTTCTCATTGCAAGTAGTCACATTTGCAGCTTCCCTGCTGTCAGGATTATATTTACACTGCATCAGGCAGTGGGATTGTGCTGTGAATCGTTACCTCTGTGGCTGGCCATGTGCCTGTAGTACTTTGTGGTTGTCAGGGACTTGTCTCTTTTTACAGTAGTGGTATGCAGATTTGCCAGTGTTTTCTGAGATGTCCAGTTGAAGAAATCCTCTCTATGAATTATGCATAAGCTACTGAAAAGATAAAGATATTGCAGCTTGTCTTTGGAAATAAAAAAAATCCCACGATACATATTGAGATCTGAAATGAACAACTTTCCAGACATACATTGCTGTAGTACTTCTCTGGCAAATATGTTTTTCTTAGAACATTTTTAAGAACTATGCATAAGAGATGGATGACAGAATATCAGCACTCTGGGCTTGGGTGAAAATCTTTAACACTGAGCAGTACATTGAGAAATTTATAATTCAGTTTTCTGTTACTAGGAAATAACTGCAGATCCTTTCTTAATCAAGCTGATTGACTGCCTCCTTCCTTCTGCAAGGAATTCAGAATCCCCCAATCTTTCTGCCTGGAATGCAAGAGCCTTCCTGTGTTCCTGGTAGCTGTGTGAGAAGGATGATTTACCCCCATAGCGCCTCTGACCCTAGAAAGAGAAGAATGGAGAATGCTCAACTACTGCAGGAGTTTTAAATTAAGCTTCTCACACCTTTTAAGTTAACCCTGTCCTTAAATGTGCAAGCAGATAAAAGAAAGTCTGCCTCTCTTAACTTGCTTCCCTGGAGAAATAAGAAAGCAGATGGAAGGGTATTTTGCCTAATTTGAATGCCAGGTGAAGAGCTAACAGTCATGGCTCCAAATCTGCAATGGGCACCTACTTAGGGGAGTCACAGGTCTCTCCTAGTGTACTAAACTACACCAGTGGGTACTAAAAGGATGACCTGAACAGTCCTTTCTATCGGTCAAGACTTAAGGTCACATTCTTTTTCTTCTGCAAGCAGCTAAAAGCTCCACTAAGACCTAGAAGAGAGTGTACAGCTACATGCTTGAGGGTGATTCCTAACCGACTCAGTAACACAGGACCTACTTTTAGATACTAATTGAATTAATTTCTAATTTGTCAGTACATTTTATTTCTATTAACAAACAGGATCACAACCAGCTTTCATATCTACTTTTCAGTTCCCTTAACGGAAATATGGTGCTTTTAATATCAGTCATATATGGTGCTCAATATCAGTCATATTGAGGAGCAACCAACAGATGTGTTTGAGAGGCGAGGCTGGGTGTACTGCATTTGGGCTTGTTCAGCACATCATCTGCTAGTGGGAAAAAAAATAAACTTTTTCCAAATTTAAGCCCAAAAGCCTGACAGCTGGGATGTCTCTCCAGCCTTCTAAGTCTGGATAACTGGGCTAGAGATCTTTTAGTGTAAGCTTTTGCAGAGGTCTTACAGAAGTTTACACAGAAAATACAGTATATGAGCATCTCTGAATTCACTGGAGAAACATAGCTATAGGAAAATATAATGGGAAATTTATTCCAATTTTTGTCAAACCCCAGTAAGAGATTGTTTGACCTTTGACCTCTAGACACGGGCTTAACATTCAGTTAACTCAATTAGTTCACCATTCCTAACCCACAGAGAGGAAGAGAGCCAGAAAGTCCTTATGCTTGGCTGGAAAAATGAGGCATAACTTTGACCACTGCAGTGTCCAAGCAGTGTCACAAGTGAGCCTTCCCCATCTTCTTCATCAAGAAAAAGCTAAAGCTTAGCTAGCTAGCTACCTTACTGGGAACTGGACCTGTGACATTCGGGATCCAGCCAAGTTCTTCTGTTCCTGATTCTGCTGGTGAAATACAATTATTTCTGTAAAGGGGCCAAAGCTTTGTCTTGTGAAGAACCGTACATATAAAACCTTTTGCATAGATCCTAGACACCAAGTTTTTAGGCTGTTTATTTAGTGCCAGTCTCATTAGTCTGGGAGTTAGTCTCAGTTAGTCTGGGAGTTTTTGTAAGACCAGGTTAGTATGTAACAAATAGTAATAATAGATTAAAGTTAAACAAGTTAAACAAGAAATAGAGAGTGGTTCTCTGAGTTTTATGTTTATGACAGGGGGTATATAAGAGATTGGACCAAACTAGCCTTAGAAGAAATGAAGTCTCCTTTTCTTAGTGTCTCCTAATCAAGATAGAATCTTTATCTAGAATATAAGCGTTAGTCATCCTGACTTGTTAGGCTCAGGGTAAGGATAACAGCATGAAGTTCAGTGGTGTGTTTAATGTAGGAGCAATGGGTCTCCTCTTACTTCATTTTAGTCATCTAAAGTTAGGTGCCAAAGCTGGTTGTCCAATTCTTTGTAGTCAGTGGCAAGACAGAGTGGTATCTTAAAAGGATATTTCACCCATCCGATCTGAAACACCCTTCTCTGCCTTCCTCCGGATCTGGATGGTGCTGTAGGATCACAGCTGCACCTCATGCCTCATGACACGATGTGTACAAGCACACCAGGCAATGCCAGTGAGGATGCTGCAGGCCCTTTGGCTCCTCCTTCCACCTTAATAAATCCTGTTTGCTGTACCTGTGCCTCGCTCCTCATATGGTCCTCAAGGCAGAGGCGGGACCTTGTGCCAGGCTGTGGGAAGGGGGCAAGGATGAGCCATCCTGTAGGCTTCGTGGGTCAGAGACCCCAGGGCAAATGCTCCTGCAAACACATCTTTAGCTTACTCCCCTGTCCCTACATATCCTTGCTATCAAACTAGCTTTTTTATAGGCTGTGATAATTTTATCTGCTTTAGCATTTCTACTTCCTTCAGATATCCTCAAAGTAACTTGCAAGCCTTGTAAATGCTCAGAAAACTCTACTGAAAGCTATAGGATTTTTTTCCAATTAAAAAAAGTAGTGCCCAAAGAACTGTTGCACCCTCCCTCCCCCTTATGCCTAAGAAGCTACCGGAAGGAATAACCCCTGCTTCACATGCAAACTTATCTACTGGGAAGAGAGACAGAGGGATGTGGGATCTGGTTGCCTTCCTCCCACTGACCTCAAAACAGTTCCCTTCTTCAGAGCCCATTTATAAATTAGCAGTTATACAGCCATTGCCATAAAAGACTGCAGACCATAATTAATTTCCTAAAAAGGGCATCATCTGCTCTTAGTAAGCCTGTAAACTTCTAGTTCCCAAGATCATTTCAGGAGTAAAGCAAAATGCAACTAAAAAAACTGCTGGGCTGAACGCTGCAGATTCAAGCTGAGGATTAAAATGCCGTCGAAATAACCAGGCTGTGGTGATTCTGAACCAGGAAGCAGTGCTCAGGGGCCGGATTGAACCCCAAAGCTGTGGTTCTGCATGGAAATTTAGAGGAAATGCTGCTCTCTCTGCAACAACATCCCAAGTCCTTTTGCACATGTAATTAATAAACAGAATTTATATATGCCAGAAAAGCAGGATAATGGTAACATGCATCAATCCTCAGCTGTGTTATAATCTAAATGAAGATATGATGACCTACAGAAGAAATCCTTTGCACTTGTTAATAGCTAAGCACAAATTGTCACTGTGCACAATATTTTCTCCTCATGGATATGCTAATGGAAACCTGATAAGAATTTGATTATGATTAATATTAATATGAAATGTTTTACATTTCTTGTGATGGTTATATGGATCAACCTATACATTTTGTTGCCACAAAAGGTCACTCATGTATTGAGCAACTTGTTCCTCTGGCACTTAAGTTTAACTGACAACAACTGACCCCTCTGCCTCTTTACACCTTGAGATCCAAACCCCCGTAACAAATAGCAGTTATACGATGTGCAATGATTAGACGTGTCTGAGTAAATAAAGCAGCCCAAATTTTCCAACCAGCCAATGAAGATAGAGACAGACATTGTGCAAAGGCCAAGAAGAATCACAGATTTTTTTTTGGATTGACTTCAAAGCCAGGCTGTAAATATGAACCTTCTACTAAAGCTGGCTTTTGGATTCAGACTTGCTGATGTAGCAAATCGTAGCCCAATTCATGCAAAGCAGAAACAAGCTTACGTGGTTATGTTACGTTGTGTTCTATTAGGGCTGCTTTATGCCTCCATTTGTCTAATCGTGGTATTTCTGAGTTATCAGACGGAGATCCAAGGGGATCTTGCCCGGTGTTCTTTGAACTCTGATGGGTACTTTTTAATGGAAGATTAAGGAGTTGGGTAGTAAAACATCTGTTTTAAAAATGTATTTCTAAATGATGAATCTGTACCATCTGTCTGACTTGTGACGTTCTTCCAGGCTCCAAGCTCTTTGGACACTTACAGCATGGTGGGAAGTGGAACTCAGCTCATTCTTGAGTATTGTTTCAGCCTGTATTGAAAGTTCCTCACAGTGCTAACAAATCTCCTTTTGGGAGTGCCTGGGGAGACAGTAATGCAAAAAAAACCACAAAGGGTGTGCGAGGCTCCCAGGAGATTTGAAGTTTATTTTATGATAGCGTTACTGAATATAATTTTATTTTTTTTCCCTTGGCTTTTACACAGATCCAGATATTTGAGTTTTGCACCCCTGCCTGCA